TATGTATGGATCACTTGGGTTGTTACTGACATCTGGTGAAAATTTCATGTCATTAGCACCTTTAGTAAAATATTTACTGAGAAAAATGGTGACGTGTTCAATACTTATTTTACCTGCTGTACCTCCAGCAAAATAAACATAAGTAGCTGGAGTAAGATAAGAAGTAATCATTTAAAATCATGGGGGGAAGTGTAGACTTCCTTTTTGTGTCATGAAAAGCACACTTAGCCAGGCCAGCTATTACCACTGCTATAAAAAGAACACATTATCAGCTTGGACAAAAGAAACTGTTGGCTGTATTGTCTGAACTCGGTTCACTTTTATGTCTTTGCTCCTTATCTCTGCTCTCTGTTCCTTTTTTACAACTTTCATTTCCATTTGGAGTTTTAAAAAGGCCAGGCTAAAAATCATAGCCTACTCTTTCCTTCAATGCCTTCTCCTGGTAACTAGAGATAGAATATGTGTGCTGAGTGACTGCTGAAATTGGTTAAAGCAGCTGAAACTGACTGAAACACTAACTAAAAATTAAAAGTAGCAAAAGGCTAGCTAAAAGTATCAAAACACTAGATAAAACTAATAAAACTACCTAAGGAAGAAGTAGTTAAATAGTGGCTATAAGTTAAAAATAGCAAAAGGCTAGCTAAAATGTAAAAGAAGCAAAACACCAGCTAAAAATAGTTGTGTACAAGCTAAAATTAGCTAAGCTGATTGTAGCAAAAGCCTAGCCGAACGTATGAAAAAGCTAGCTGTAAGCTAAAAGTAGCAAAATACTAGCTAAAATCAGTGGAATAATTGCTAAAAGCAGCAATAGGTTAGTTCAGAGCAAAAAGTAGTACATTATGGTTAAAGCTCAATAGGATGAAAACAGCACATTTCTCAGAGAAATTTGTTTTTGAAAGAAGTAAAGAGGACTACTGAAACAACGTTCACACAATTAGCATGCTGCTCAAATGTTTGGTACACAAATGAGCACAACAGTCACAACTGACCACTTGCCAGATTCTACAAACCAGAAACAATAAAACTCAACTTTTTTTTTCCCTGACAAGAAAATACTAATACTAAAGCCAGGATGACAGACATGTTAGCAGACAGAAAGACAACAAGATCCACCTGCTCATATGGCAGATGTGCCAAACAGACAAGCCCACAGATAAACTCCTACTCCTTTCAAAATAAGAAACTAATCAAATGGATTTTACCATCTGGTTGCCTGGGCTCTGAAGCAAACCCATCAGCTCTAATCAGTGGCAGCCAATACATCTGAGACAGACATGATGCAGTATATTCAGTTTGCTAATCAGGGGGTCAGGATAATGGCTCAGCAGGTGGATGCAGACAGTGTGACAGCAACAAAGGTTGGGCAGGACCCAACTGTGCCATCCAGTCAGGAAGGGGGTCATCTGTGTTTTGGGAAACCTGCTGCTCTGAAAGGAGTGACGCCATTGACAAGAAAACTAATACTCCGTAACAATCCATTTATCTTTTTTTTATTATTATTAAGTTTTCCAGGTCACATGGAGCCTCTGTCACTGCGTGACATGAGGTGCACCRTGATAAGGTCGCAAATCCATCACAGGGACTTCTGATCTACAGAATCAGAAATAATTCATGCTGCCTGTGCATGCATGTGTGCGTTTGTTTCTCTGTGGTGCTTTTAACAAAATTTTCAGGAAGTATTCACAGAATGTAAATCTACAACTGATAAATGTTTGGAATCAGTTCAGCTAATCAACCTTATAGCCAACACCAAAATGGCTATAGCTTGATGCAGTATAGCTGGGAGTCATCCTTAACACATGCTATGAGGTTTCCAGCATGAGCTGATCTAAAGGTCCTGTCACACTATARCATTTTAGACAACTTATGCCAACTTAGGAAAATTTTACAGATGAAGTTGAAAATGGACATAAAATTTTCAATTGGAAGCATCTTTTAACCATGTACATACCATAATGCTGATAAATTGATGAAATATTTATTAATAACAAAAAATTTAAAATGTCATAAGTTTATATAAGTTGTCTAAAATGTTATAGTGTGACAGGGCCTTTATTTTAATACTTGCATAGGAACATTTTTCAAAGAAATTAAGGCTTTAATTTCTTTTTTGATTTCAAAATTTAAATAAAAAATTTTAGGGAAACATACCAGTATCTCAAATTTTCTTTGTGTGAGACAGAGTTTGCTGCAGACATGTCCAGAGTTTTGTGCGTCATGACGTTAAACCCCATCACTTACTGTCTCGTGATGATGCCTCTTCCAGTGTGACCAAATCAAATCAGAGAAGCAGAAGGGAAATTATCTTGGAACAAACGTCCTCCTTTGTGTTCTGGACATTCTTTCATTGCAGATACAATTTTTACAGTTAAATAATAAGCTTAATTGTTGAAACTCTGTTACTCGTTTCTATTTTGGACCATGAGTTTTACATGGATGTAACCAGAGGTAACACGGTTTGTCTTGACTACAAAAATATTAAAATATAATTAACCTGTACAGTCTGAAAACTGTTC